TGCCCATTAGGATTGATTTAGAAAACCTTGAAATATTGAGGACTCAATTGAGTTTTGGGATTGATTAAATTACATACATGTGTTTTCTAAATTGTAGGTTATCAATTCTGTTCCGATTTCCTAAACCATGTCCAATCCTAAACGTGCTAGGTCTTCATCTAGTCGTTCACACCGTCAACCAAATCCACCTCCAAATCCTCCACCTATTCCAATTTCTAATCCTAATCCTATTGATCCTAATTTGACTATCCAAAATTCGTGTTTCAATCATCCTGGTCCTAGAAATCATCGTTTTTGGTATTATCAATATTTCGACTCTTACAAAATCCGGGAAGAACGTATTCCTTCTCGTCAAGCTATGTTAGCTATCAATTTTAAATATCTTCCTTTTTTACAAGAGTGGAAATTTGATAAACTCTTTGACCTTGAACCTATCGTTTACCATCAACTTGTTCGTATTTTCTATTCTAATGCCGTTTGTGTTAAAGAACAAACTGAAACCGAAACCATAGGAATTCGTTCCTACCTTCTAGGACAATTCTTATATATTGACTCGGGTTACATAGCCAATACATTCGGAGTAGTTAATGATGGGATTTCAAATGAAAAACAGGTTTTAGGATCTCGTTATAAAAGAAGGGATAGTGCAAGTGTCCTAGACCTTCATGAACGTTTTCTTCATCTAATGATTTCTTGGTGGTTTCAACCATCCGGAGGTCGTTATTCTACTCTTAGAGCCTTAGATCTTTGGTGGTTACATTGTTTCGAAAACAATATTAAAATCAACCTACCTCATATTATTTTTGCTAAAATTGTTGAAACCGTAAATCTTGTTCCTAATAAAAAACTCTGTTCATCTCTTGTTTACGGTTGTATTTTGAGTAATCTGTTTTCCAAAGTTGGGCTTAGAGTCGGTCTAGATGTTGTTTTTCCTCTTAAGAAACAAATTAACCTTCTTTCCTTAACGAGAGCGGGATGGATTAAGGATAAGGAAACCGGGGAATGGGTTCGATCTTCTGCAAATACTCCGGGAGCTAGTTCTTCACAAGCTCCACCCGAGGCTGACGAAGATCTCGAGCTTGAGCAATTAATGCGAGACATCGATGAAGCTGAAGATGAACCTGAGCAGCCCGAGGAGCAGCCCGAAGAGCAAGTACAACAAACGCATCCAATGCCTCCATATTTCCAATCCTTTATAGAGACATTCGATTTTCGATACGCTACTATGGATTCGCGCTTTACTTCTATAGAGTCTCATTTATCCACAATGGGAGCTCAACAATTAGAAATTATTCGGGAAATGCGTGCAAATAATGAAGCAACTAACGCACGTATTAATGACCTCACTAACGAAATGGCCGCTATGCGAGCTCGTTTTCCTCCTCCTGATCCGGATATGTGATTAAATGTTTTACTTTGAACTCCAAACTTATTGTTTTAACATTTTGAATATTTTGGAATGTTTGAATTTGTGAATTGATTGATTGTGAATTTGTTTGGATTTATGGATGGTATGAACTTATATGTTTTGTGTGATTTATTCATTATTGCATCATTTACTTCATGTTAGATATATGACCAATTTTTGCCATATCACATTAAATATGAATATTGATTATGAAGCTAATGGCTAATGTTTCTCTTGATTGTGATCTTAGCAGCTTATGCATACATATACCTAATCAATTGGCTAAATGTTTTTCATGTTTCTTTGAATCTTTTTGATTTAACAAAAAGGGGGAGAAGTGGTTTTAAGTGTGTTTTAAAATGATAAATGGGAGAAGTGTTAAAGTAAGGGGGAGTAATTTCAAAACTTGATTTCAAAATCTTAAAATTACTAAAATGTTTTGTTATATCAAAAAGGGGGGAGATTGTTGAAAACATTTTGATATTTCGATATAACAAATTAAGTTAAATGAATTTTAAGATTTTCCAAAATGATTTTCTAAGTATATTCGATATAATTATTCGAATATCAAAACATTACTCCAAATATTTCAAAAATCATTTTTAATCCTTACTTAAGTGTAAAATTAAGTTTTAATCTTAAAACAATTTCAAAATAATCTTTCAAAGTATTTCGAACCATTTCAAAGCCAAAAATTCTAGATTGCTCAGAGGGAACCGATTCCCCCCCAAAGGGGTACCGATTCCCCCCTGAATGGTTTGGCTCCGAGATTTCCAGAATGCTCGGAGGGAACCGATTCCCCCCTGTTCAACGGTCGAAATATTTGAATTTTACACTTAGGGAACCGATCCCCTATGAGGGGGAACTGATTCCCCCCACGCTCTAAGCTGTTTTATTAATTGTTTTCACACTAAAACGGCTATATGATCTTCACTAATCATCCCCAACGTTCATAAGTGATTCAAGGTGTATTTAAACAAGTTCTGAAGCCCTTGATCAACAAGAAATTATAGAGAAACAAGAGAGAAAGCATCAAACACCAAGTTTGTGCAAATCAAGCCAATTTTCCTTTCAATATTCATTTTGCTTTCAAGAACACCATTTGTGCTCATTTGTAATTATCTTTGAGTGTTCTTTTCTTGTTCTAGAATTGTGCAAACATCTTACCTTGTGAGGTTTTCCTTATAAGTTTGCAAATTTGTAATCTTCTCTTTGGGAAAGAGTGTTCTCAAGAATTGGGGTATATTCTTGAGGGTGTTGTAAGGTTATCTCTTTGGCCTCAAAAGAAAGAACAAATTAGTGAATTTGTTGGAAAATCCTTAGTGTGGATAGCTAAGGTAGTGGACGTAGACTTTGATTGAGAAAGTCGAACCACTCTAAATCGTTGTGCAATTACTTTCAATTTTCTGCAAAAGCTTTTACCAAATTTTTAATTGCCAATTCACCCCCTCTTGGCCAAATCCGTCAATCGATTAACTCAACACTGTTATTTTTTAACGGTGAGATACCAAATTGAACCTAAACTAAACATTATGTATGATTTCGAAAAATTAAAGTTTAAGTACAAAACGGAACAAAAGTAATAGTTTAGATACTAAACGTATAGTTTACCCAAGAATATATTTCAAGATTATTTTTGTGCATTCAAGATTTTGGAAGCATAGTTTTGATATTCAAGTTAAGGTTTTGATATCCAACTATTTTCAAAGAAAAAAAAGATTTTTAGCTTCTTAAGTGTTCTAAAATACCCAGTTAGCCCCTATAATTTCTATGTATGATAATTCAATCTCTCAAATTGATACCAATGCATGTTTTGATTGTATAAATGTTTGATTTGCCTTTGAATTTCATTGAAGTTTTCTCCGATTGATCAGTATGACTCCGTTGATTCGGTTTACGAATGAGTTAGGAGTGTTCTAAACAATAACTCTATGAGTGATGGAAACCAAAGAAGAAAGAGTAAACACCTATTTGGTCACCCAACTATTACTAAGTTTCTATTTTAGTCATCTAATTATTTTTTTCCATAATCATACATACTATTTTGGTTTGGTTATCTGCCGTTAAAAAATAAAAGGTGATGCTAAGTTGCTAACGTGTTACCATAATATAATATTCCACATGAACATTGAAAAATAATTTTAAAATATCACCATTAATTTTTTTGGATAAACTATACGTATGACCACTTAACTATTGTCCATTTTCATTTTGACTATCGATCTTTCTATTTTATCAATCAGATTATCTAATTATTTAATTATTGCCAATCAAGCCACTTGGCGTTGTCTTTTAATTAGGGGTGTTCATGGTCGATTAACCATATCATTTAGCCTAAATGACTCGTTAACCGTTATAGCGGTTACTAATTTTTGTTAATCATCCGCTAACGGTTAATCGTTATTAACGGTTCGATTACAGGTTAACATGCGGTTAACCTATTATATTTTTTTCAAATACAACACAACATGAAAGTTCAAAATTTCATGAAATTTACGAAGATAGGAACATATATATTTGTAGAAATGTTATTTATCTGTAGATGCATTTTATTTTTATAGAAATATATATATTATGAGGTATATTCGAGTTTTTTTAAGTTTAAAATCATGTATTTCTTTCATCGATGTTTGATTTAATGTGCTTCAATATAAGATAAACACGATAACTAAAAAATAAGGAGGAGTCATTTTGATTTTATTTATAATTTTATTCTCTAAAAGTATAATTAATTAATTAACTTGTTAACCGATGGTTAACCATTTATCAAAATTCGTAATTGTAACCTTTAACCGACACTTTTAGCAGTTCGGTTAATTAAAACTGTTTATCCTTAATGGTTCGGTTAATTAATCTGTAAAATGTAGTAGTTTCACGAGTTAAAATGAAACAGTTTAAGTTGAACACCCCTACTTTTAATAGAAAAGTTGACATGTCTATTAAAAAATTAGTATAATTACACATTTAATCCTCAATATTTACATATTTTATCAATTTAGTCATAGTTTTAATTCATTTTAATAAATTTAATATCTAACTAGATGATGACACAGTCATAACATAATTGGAGGGTATTGGCTTAACTTTAGTTAATTTATTTTATTTTCCAGCCAATGAGATGGTGTCACGAAACATGCATGTGTATAAAATATTTTTAAAACGATGTTAATACATTTTAGAGTAATAATAATATTTTTTATATAAAATTTATAAAAATAATTCAAAATCTCTTTTGGGTTAAATAACACATATCTTTCCACATGGCTCCACCTATGGGTATGCCAATTCTATAGTATGGCCTTAATATTTAATTTCCAATATTGTCTGATGGCGTTGGCATATTTATCACAAATAAAATAACGATTTCTTGAAGTTGAATAAACTACACAAATTAGAACTAAGATTCCATGAGGAAACCTGGCACTTGCAATATAAAATGAGCTGTATCTTCCACGATTGCCTCTCACGCCAAGCATTTTGGCACTTGCAATATAAAATGAGCTCTATCTTCCACGTTTGCCTAGCCAAGCATTTTGGCACTAGCAATATAAAATGAGCTCTATCTTCCACGTTTGCCTAGCCAAGCATTTTATCAACTCTCCCTCTCTCCTTTCTTATTGGAATATTGAGTCCTTCAATCGAAATGGGGCGCCTTGTTTTCTTGTTTGCTTGCTCTTTGCTTCTTCTGGTGGCTGCTGCTTCAACACCCTCTGCTGCAATAGTGGAGCACACATTCCATGTAATTTTCATGGCTTTAAGAAGACACTTAACGTTCCTTTAATGATATTTAATGTCCCTAAGCTTATAATTTGAGTTTGCTTGCAGGTGCAAAATTTGACTCTTAACAGGCTATGCAATCGCCAGGTGATTACTGCAGTAAATGGAAGCTTCCCTGGTCCCAGAATCCGAGTTCTAGAGGGTGACACACTGATTGTTCATGTCTTTAATAAGTCACCTTACAACTTGACCATTCACTGGTAAACCTTCATGGAAATTACAGTTGAATTTACTCAAATTCATTTGTTTTTAACCATTTGCTAATGATTTCTCGACCAGGCATGGGGTTTTCCAGATACTGAGTGGCTGGGCTGATGGACCTAGCATGGTGACTCAGTGTCCAATTCGCCCCGGAAATAAATACACCTACAAATTCAAAATCATTAAACAGGAAGGAACCCTCTGGTGGCACGCTCATGCCTCGGCGCTCCGTGCCACCGTTTACGGTGCACTCATCATCCGCCCCAGAACCGGAAACTCTTACCCATTCCCTAAGCCCTACATGGAAGTTCCCATCCTATTAGGTATATATATCTACTGGTAACTAAGATTTTACATTATGTTCCACATGCCTCTAGGTTTTTAGCTAATAAAGAGCGATGCGGTTACAGGTGAGTGGTGGAATGCTAACATCGTTGATATCCAAAACAACGCATTAGCCCTTGGCCGTGGTCCGAATGTTTCTGATGCTTATACAATAAATGGATGGCCCGGTGATCTCTATCCATGCTCTACAAACCGTAAGTGTATGAAATTAATTATATATTGTTAACGTATCGAATATAAATCTTTAATTTAGTTATATGATTCACGATAACCAGAAATGTACAAGCTTAAGGTGGTGCGAGGGAAGACCTATCTCTTACGTATCATCAACGCTGCACTCGATAACCAGCTATTTTACAAGATAGCCAATCATAAGATGACTGTTGTGGCTGTTGATGCCTGCTACACCAACCGGTATGTCACCGATGTCGTGGCCATCGCCCCCGGCCAGACGGTTGATGTTTTGCTAACAGCGGATCAGCCGCTCGGGTCTTATTACATGGCCGCGAGAGCTTATGCAAGTGCATTTGGTATAGTACCGTTTGATAATAGTACAACGAGGGGTGTGATCGTCTACGACGGTGCAGCATCTTCAACAACGCCGGTAGTGCCGGTCTTACCTGCGTTCAACGACACCCCCACGGCTCATAAGTTTTATAGCAACCTTACTAGTTTGGCCGGTGGGCCTCATTGTGACCCTGTCCCGGTTAAAGTGGACCACAAAATGTTCGTCACCATTGGATTGGCGCTTGAAATCTGCCCATCAAACACAACTTGCCAGGGTCCATTTAATGTAACAAAGCTTTCGGCCGCCATGAACAATCAATCCTTCGTGCCACCTACTGGCTTGTCGATGTTGCAAGCCTTTTTCTTCAACGTTGGAGGAGTTTACACCACTGATTTCCCAGCCAGGCCCCCAGTTCAATTCGACTACACCAACGCAAGCATTAACAGCAACCTGTCACTGCTATTTGCTCCAAAAGGAACTAAAACCACCAAGCTTAAGTTTAACTCCACCGTGGAAATGGTTTTGCAGAACACAGCTATTCTCGGAGCGGAAAATCATCCGATGCATCTCCATGGCTTTGATTTCCATGTACTGGCTCAAGGGTTCGGAAACTATAACCCAGCCACAGATACAAACAAGTTCAATCTTTTCGACCCCCAAAGGCGCAACACTATCGCCGTACCTGTTGGAGGATGGGCTGTCATCAGATTCGTAGCTAATAATCCAGGTTTATTTTCTGTCGTCAGAATCTTATTTAAAAGCATTGAAAAGATGTTCAACTCAACATTTGTTTCAATTCATCTGAAATGTGCAGGTGTATGGTTTATGCATTGCCACCTTGACGCGCACTTGCCAATAGGACTGGCCACTGCCTTCGTGGTTGAGAACGGACCAACTCCGGCGACAACCTTGCCTCCGCCGCCAGCGGATCTTCCGCTATGCTAGACATTATTTTATTTATATATGAAAGTAGTTGACTTTGTTTTTGTATTTGAAACTTCCCTCTCCAGTTTTCTTAAATGATTTGGATTTCATTCTTTAGGCAAGAGATGTCGATTTAGTTTATTAAACTTCAGTTGTTACATCGTGTTTTATATTTCCTATATGTTTTTTAAAAATAAAATAAAATCAATATTATATTCTTTAATTTTGTTCGTTTGTTCATAATAGTCAAAACTATTGCATCTGAATCAATTCTTTACTGTAATTATGGTCAAAATTATTAAACGCTGTGTTCGTCTAATAAAACTTTAAATCTCTAAAACTAATCCTTTAAAAATTTTATCGTAATATTTTTAAATTATTAATATTTAATTTGTTAATAGATTACTTTAAATTTAATTTATTTTATTTATAATGTAAAAGATAATTTACAATTGTTGTTGGTGACTATTTTTGAACAATTGTTTGGTCAGGGAACCTCATCCACGTTCTCACACCATTATGTTGACGTACAACTAAGGATACGAGGGTTAGAGGAGTCTGTAGACGATTAACCCTTTTAATTTAGATAAAAAAAATTGTTTGTTATTGATAGTGGTCGAAGACCAAAACTTCGACTCAGCTTCATGTTATCATGGACCTGACATGATAACTCGATGTCCAATACACCCTGGAGATAAATATACACACAAATTTAGGGTCATCGATCAAGATCTCAAAGTATAATAATAATATTTTTACTATCGAGGTCATTGAAGTTTATACCGGTAATTATTGAGTGTATGAATAAAGTACATTACTTTCAATAAAAGAATATAAATTTAAATTTTAGAAAATAATATTGTTGAGAAGAAAATTTATGAATTCTAAATAAAAGAAATCATGCATAACAAAATTATCCATACACTCAACAATTTTGGCACGAACATTGAGAATAATACTCTCAACAATCAACTTAAAGTTTTTTTAACTCGACTTAACTTAACTGGATCGAATATTTACCCTTAATCCACATGTTTTTACAATTTGATGTACATATTTGAAATAAACTCTAAGCCAGTCCAAATTAGTATTTAAAGTCTGAAATGACAGTTAAGTTGAGAAAAAGGCATGATTGATACTTTAAGAATTCAAATAGAATTCTTTAAAAAGGGATCAATCTAAAATTAGGATAATACTTTGGGGTGTTTGATGATATTAACCCCAAAAAACATATTCGTTGTTTGGGTTTCTAAAAGCATCCATGATTTATGAATAACAGATCAAACCCAATGGCTTTTCCTTTTGGGTTGAGTTGATCTAACCAAGCCATAGCTTTGAAGCCCATATCTAAAATTTCCAACTAAATGTGTATAAGAGTTAATTGCATCATATATCCCCAAATGATTACCGTTATTTTAAATTGAATATTTTAATTTTATCCTTAAATTATGACTCTCATTATAAATTAATCTTTAAATTTTTGAATATTCCAATTTCATCCCCAAACTGTGACCCTCATTTTAAATTAATCCTCAAACATTTAAATCTTCCAATTTCATCCACAAATTATCCAAATATAATTAGTTTCAACTATAGTTTAACCTAAATTTTATTTTTTTAAAAATATAATAATATAACTTGGCCTAACGATTTTATTAGCAAATGATGTAATTAGTACATATGTATAGTTGGGGATGAAAATGAAATGTTCAAAATTTTGGGGACTAGTTTAGAATGAATATCATAGTTTGAGGATGAAATTGAAATGTTCAAAAGTTTGTGGACTACTTTAGAATGACAGTCATAGTTTAAGGTTGAAATTGAAATGTTTAAGAGTTTAGTGACTAATTTGAAATAAGTATCATAATTTGAGGACATGTGATGTAATTAACTCCTTTATCTCAATTGGAAGCGGGTCCTGGCATTATCTGGGGACCTATATGGTTCACACATTTGTCAGCAACAAGGAGATAAGCAAAGCACCGGCCAATTGGAAGCTTCAAACACACAAAGCAAAGAAGAACAAACATAGAAAGGATCAAAATAAAATGGCTCAAGCAATTTCAACTTCGTCTTGTTGCAGTATCCTCTTCTCAAAATCCCACCGTTCCATCTCCCCTCTTTCTCCTCACACTCTGCTTCGTTTTAATCACTACTCCCAAGGTTTCACCCACAGAATTCCAGCCGGTCTTCAATATAAAGCGGTGGAATTTCCATTGCCAGCAACAACAGTGACACAAGTCCAAAACAAGGAGCCAAGGAAGACGACCCAGTTTGCACTCGAGAATTTAACCTCTTGGCTGTTGAAACAAGAACTAGCAGGCAACATCGATGCCGAGCTCACTGTTGTTCTATCAAGCATCTCCTTGGCTTGTAAACAGATAGCTTCTTTGCTCCAAAGATCAAGCATCATCAATCTCACCGGCGGCCAGGGTACTATCAATATCCAAGGTGAAGACCAGAAGAAGCTGGACGTTATATCCAATGAGGTTTGTCTAAGTTTTTATCATTACCCATTGTTTCCAAGTATATTTACACTGTTTCATTCACCACGAATCCAATGTGTATAATATAAGTTTAGTTGTTCTGCAACTGCCTAAGATCAAGTGGACGAACAGGGATTATAGCATCGGAAGAAGAAGATGTACCTGTGGCGGTTGAAGAAACTTATTCTGGGAACTACATTGTTGTCTTTGATCCTGTTGATGGATCCGCCAATATTGATACTGCATTGACAACTGGATCAATATTTGGCATATATGGCCCTGACCAGCAATGCCTTATCGATCTCGATGATACCTCTACGGTAATCCTTTCATCTCTGATGTCTAATCTATGTCAACAACACATGTAACCAGCATAAATTACCTGTAGTTTTTATATGCTACAGCTGCAACTAAACAGTGGAAGTGTGGAACTACAAAAGAATTTTACTACCAAGTACCTAGATGCTTATTTTCTAGCATTGTATAAGAAAAAAGAACACATTTGACTCCGAAAAAAGTTCCATAATCTTGTATTCTTGCTCTAAAATGACTTAAAAACAGTCCAATGTTTAGCGCCTCTTAAAGCTTTCAACTCGTTTGCAATGAAGCTAGATCAAGCAAGAGAAAAATGCATCATCAATGTTTGCCAGCCAGGGAAAAACTTATTGGTTGCAGGCTATTGTCTATATTCAAGCTCTGTAGTCTTCACTATTTCCTTAGGCAAGGGGGTGTTTGCATTCACCCTAGATCCCACTTATGGGGAATTCGTGTTAACACATGAGAATATCAAAATACATGAGGCTGGTAAAATTTATTCTTTCAATGAAGGAAATTATGACCTCTGGGATGAAAAACTGAAGAACTATCTCGACCACCTTAGGCAACCAGGATCCAACGGCAAACCTTATTCGGGCCGCTATATTGGTTGCCTTGTCGGTGAAATTCATCGAATGCTGCTTCGTGGAGGTATCTATGGCAACCCTAGGAACATGAACAGCAAAAATGGAAATCTGAGACTACTATATGAGTGTGCACCTATGAGCTTTTTAATAGAACAAGCTGGTGGCATTGCGATAGATGGAGAACAAAGAATTCTTGATATCATACCTGAGCAGGTAATAACTTAACCCAGATCCATATTGACTTACTGTTTCAAGAACTTCCACGTTAACAGGAGCATGTCCTTGCTCTGGACAAGCAAAGGATAATATAAATCAGTGGGTTATTCATGGTTTTGGCATTTTACATTGGCAGGTACACCAGCGTACACCAATTTTCCTTGGAAGCCCAGATGAAGTTCAGAAACTACAGAAGTACATAGCTTGAGCCCCAAAGTATGAGTTTCGACTCTTTTGCTTGCTAGGAGCATATTTCCGAAACTCAAGGATGACAAGAGAAGATTACAATTAGAGAATAAAATGATTAGACAATCAAACTGTTATCAGCAGCATCCATGGTATCCTTAGTATCCTACTACATGATTAAATTTAAAAAAAAACATTTGGTTAACAATTCTTTAAATGTGTACTTGTTGAGCATCATATGTTGCTCAAATTCCAAACGAAAATCATATTGACCCATCAATGGAAGGCATTTCAAACATAACTTCATCTTTACAGAGAAAGTGGCTTCATGCTGTGTTAAAACGCTGAAAGGTTTTAAAATTTGTTGACCAAAATAAGAAGTGTGTTGTTAAGCATTGCTTGCTGTGATTGTGGTGTACAGTCAGCCAACTAGTCATCTTGATGGTAAAACCACTCAGTTTGTAGCAGGGTAATTTTGTTGCTCCGGAGAATTCCTTTGACCTTTTGCTGAAAATTTAGGTACAGGCAAACATGAATATAGAGAAATAATAACTCACAAAATGAGGAGAGTAGAAGGATACAGTATTTTTACCAGGGCTCAATATTTTTATGCATTTTGTTATAGACTTCACTGATGTCAGGGTGTTGGCTCCTGCAACCATAGCACAAGCAGAGTAAGCATACAAATATCAGTTTGGAAGCAATTGAATTATGCAGCAGTGCGGTTTGCCACCTTGTGCATTCATGTTATTCTCAGAAAGCACTTCTGTGACAGTAGATGAAAACTTTGACATGACTTGATTAGCCCCCAGATTGTCATCCCCGGAGTCATGAGATGACCTGTGAGTCATGAATGAATATAAACATCAGTGAAAAATAACCACCTGAAAGTAGTGAAGAAATAAGTGGAGAAATTAATGGTCAAAATATGCAATTTGATTGGATTAGAACCAATACCCTGAAAGAGCAGCTCCAGAAGTACCCAATGTTGGTTGGCAAGGGTAGCCAAATCCATCAGATCCAAGATCAAGATCCACTAACAGTTCCGAGAAGGAGAAATTTTCCCCTAAAGCATCTAAATTTGGCAAATCCAGATCAAAAAAATCTGCATCCATTTCAGACGCAGATGTTGAAGTCTCATTCAATATTGGTTTGTCCACCTGCACTGTTGCATCAGAACCATCAAAGTCCAGCCTGCTCTTTACATGATCCCTCTTACCAACCCTCTTCAAGCATGTCTTTACTGGTGAACAAGAGGAGATGCAATGATTCCTCTCAATGGTGTAACATGTCATTTGTTTTAAAGGGCTAACTGTAACTCTCTCAGTTGAAATTATAGTGCAGTTAGTAGGAGTGATCTCTTGAGGAGTAACGTTGTGACTGCAGTTAGCAGTTGAGGAAACACCTGGTGGAGTCATTGATTTATCACTCTGAGGGGAAACTGCTCGTAGGGGCGTCTTAGGACCTGAAGAATTAGTTGGAGGGGATAGCTGTGGCTGATTGAACAAACACTTTGCAACACCAGATACATGCGTCGTCAATTCATTTTGTGTGCAGCTGGAAGGTTTTGATTGATTTAAAGATCTGAACTGACCAGCTACTTGTCTATTCATTACATTAGCAGACTCTGGCAGCTTTTCAATTCCTGCAACAAACATGTCAGGGATGATGTTATGGCTGTATCAAGGCATGAAAGGAAATATGATAAGGCAATAAATTCTACCCTGCACAGTTAACTTCCTAGAAGCTAACTTGTTGCGAGATTTCTTTGCAGCTGCTGGGGCTTCAGTGACGGCCTCCAAGCTTCTTTTATTCCTTGTTAATGGACGACTTGTAACTGGAGAAGAGTAATTATTTCTCTCCATTCTGGAATTAAAAGGACCAGATATTGGAATAACAGTCGGTGTACTATACACGGGAAGACCTAAAACAAACATCGAGAAAATACAAGAATCGTTTAGCAAAGAGAACTACGAGGTGTGCAAAACAATATTTAGATCACATACCATGATTTGGAATTATTATCATGAACTAATTCTCGAATAGAAATGGAAATACAACCGTAACATCTCCCAAATGAATCTAATATACGATTGGTTAAATAAAACTTACCAAGAGCATAACCTTTTAGAATAAAGTAAGTAATATGTTATATTATCCATAACAAATCATGTAAATTGCATAAATATTCCAGGTACAAACTAAAAACTTAACATTAAGACATTTTCTATTGTAACCAAAATTATTATCAATTATGTAACTTTTTAGAGTAGAAATATAACATTTTAGTTCAAAACCCATCACAATTTAACATTATCGGTTGTAGCCAAAATTATTAATAATTGTATAACTTTTTAGGTTGAAGAATATAACAATTTAGTTAAAATCTGCTGCAAATTAGTCTTAGGTTAAGCCGCGGTACAGCATAACTGCTCAACATCTCCCATAGTAGTCTTAAGGCCCTAATACTATCGATTGGAAACAAACATTTATCAAAAACAATTTGCCACATGCAACCAATTCCAAATAATCCACATACTAAGACTACATACATCTAAATCCAACTATAATTTGGAGGAGAAAACCAATGGTATCTACATTCGATAAGCAATTCTTTCTTCAAATGTTTCGCATATTTCAGTACATCAACACCTCAAGGACAAAGTAGGAGCTAACATAATTATGATCAATTCTAATACAATTAACCACCGAGAGCTCGATATTTGTACCTGGGGGAGATCCAGCACGTGGATCTGATTGAGGAACCACGGATACTGTTTTAGTTGCATTTACATGAGGAATCATAGGCACTGATGTAGTGGCACTCGCATTGTAAGTGTTCATTACACTTTGCATTCCCTGCAAAAGGGACTGAACCCTGCATTTTTCTTGCTCCAAACGAACTCTTTCCTGCTCTACTAACACCTTTTGCTCTTTCAAACAAATATACTCGTCTAACATCGCGCCCAAACTTAACAAACTCTTCGGTGCCTATCACAATATAAGCAGTAATAATTCAAAACAAAGGACTATACATAAGAAATTTAGAAAAATAGGGAATTGGGTTAATCGGGTATCTACCTCTCGAACAGGGGATTTGGAGATGAGAAAAGAAGCTTCGTTTCGGAAAGTAGAACGAGTCTCGGAGTAGTTGTTATCGGAAAGGTAGCGATCGACGATGAATGCGACTTGGACTGGAGTGACTTTCCCTTTGCCCAGATTCTCTGGTTTCTTAGATCTGCTTTGCTTCCCCATTGTTTTCCCTTGCAAGTGAAAAGGCAAGATGGATAGAAGAATGGTAGAGAGAAAGTTATGGCGAGAGGATTTCTGAATGTATTAAAGAGAGATCGGGATTAAGAGAAGGAGAGTGTGTGAAGTGGCGCCATTGCTGGGGCGAAATGAAAAGCGCGGCAGAGTTTGAAATTTTTTGGATGAAAAATTACAACGATTCTTTTTTTTTTTACTTTTCTATATGGATAAACTACATATTTAGTCACTCAATTAATATGACAGTTCTGTTTTAGTCACTTAATTATTATCTTTCAAAATCATACATAACGTTTGCGTTTTGTTTTGATCAGTTAATGTTAAAAAATAAATAGAATTACTAATGCTCTATTTTTATTTTTTCAATAATAATATGATATTATTTTATGGTAACACATCAACTTTATCATTATTTTTTAATGATAAGTGATCAAATCAAAATAAAAATATAATGTTAAATATAAATTTTAAAAAATAATTAAATTACTCAAACGTAACAGCAATAATAATCTGATGATTAAATATATAACGTACCCTTTTATATTCAATTTGATAACTCGCATTTGGGATTTTGTGTTCCCCGGGAATGTCACGTGCCGTTGGCTTTTGTATCGGTAAACTTGTTTATAAGTGGATTAGGGAGATGTTGTTCGCATTAAGCCATTGACCTAACAACTTAATATTTATCATAATTAAAGTGATATAGTAAAGATAGATTATTCGAGCATGAATAAAATTTAATTTTATTTACAAAATTAATTATTTTTTTAAATTTTAGATTAAATTATTTAAGATTTTAGTCAATTCACATAACTAATTTAATTTAAATAATTTAATATGAAAATATGTAATTCAAATTATTCAAATGATTATTTAAAATCCAATCTATTATCTACAAATTTGATCAAATCGATTACCATAATGTTATTTGTGGTTTGGTCGAAGTGATTTTTTTTACAATTATTAGAGAATTGTATATATTCTTTTAAGGTAAAAGGGTAACTTTTATCCCTGTAATAGATCATATTTATCATTTTTATCTCTATCATATTTTCGTATTAATTCAGCTTTTTAAATTGCTCAGTTGCATCATTATATATCTTATCTCTCACTTAAAATTCTAAGTTATATATTAAGGTTTAGGGTTTAACGATTATAGGTTATGGTTTAGGGTTATCAGTTTAGGGTTTTAAGTTAGAAGAATGATATAAAATGATGCAATTAAATAGCATTAAGAATTAAATTTATGCGAAAATATGATAGGGGCAAAAATGATAAATTGAGTCTACCACGAGGGTAAAGGTAACCCTTTCACATTCTTTTAATAGTATAAGGTGTTTACAATGTATTATATGTTCAAAATTTTTATTGATCATTGACAAACACACACGTTATGTAAAAACAACTGCTCTAATTTGAAACTTCTAGGAAAAATAGTTATCTAATTAATATAACTTTTCAATTTAAATAAAAATAAAATTATAGTAAAATAATAAATTTAACTCTTAATATTTTTTATTATTTAGATTTTATTAACACTTAAATTTCGTTTTTGTAAAATTATTATTTTTGGACGAAAAAACTAATAAAAAAGTCCACATAATAGTCCATATGTAATTAGGGATGACAATATTAAAAAAACAATAAGGGATGACAAAATACATAAAATTGGATAGATTACGACTCGATAAGATTTGACTTTTTTTTAAAATTTGATCTAACATTTCCACTTACTCCTCTTGTTACTAAAATCTCACCTATTTGTTATTCACTCCATTATCATCGCACAAATGCTTTAAGCTTCATTCCAACATTCGCCTAATTATTGTTCGTCTATATACTGCTTCATGATTTGTTATTGGTGTAGACATTTATTTTTGTCCGGATCTATAAAAAAAATTATTATATTATATTTTACTATTATTATAATTTATTTTTTATTTTTTGTAGACCCCAGCTGAATCCCCACCATTCCACAAAATATTATTAACTACCCACTCCATTCCATCATGCCAGCCAGTATCCCACTAGCTAAAAAATCCCACTTTCTTTTTGCTTAACAGGGGGAGCTGCACAAACGTAAAAGGGGACAAAAAACGAAAAACACAACAGGGGGAGAAAATGAGGCTCCAAAGTTTTTTCTACATCAAACCTTCTCCAAACTCCATAACCAAATGGATATCGGTGTTGAAAGTATTGTTAAAATGGTTTTCAAGTTTGACAACCAACTTTGAAAAAATGGTTTTCAAAGTTTGGTAAATGTTTCTTTGAAAATGGTTTTCAAAGTTTGGTAAATGTTTCTTTGAAAATTAGTTTTTCAAAGTTTGGTAGATGTTTGTTGAAAAATGAAAATGGGATAATCACAATTAATCCCTAGACTTTAGGGTATTTACAAGATTAAGTCCTTAAGTTTCAACTATAAATACCCTAGCTCATTTAGCTTCAAAATCATTCCAAAAAATCATTTCTTTCTCCCAATATTAGAGAGTTTTCTTGTGAGTAGTGAGTGTTTTGTAAACACCTGTAAATTTTCTCTCTTAGTAAAAGATCTGCAGCAGTCCGGAGACGTAAGCAAATTGGCTGAACTCCGTTATCAATTTCGGGTATTATTTTTCCGTTTTTATTTCGCATTCTCATTATTCTGGTTATAAGGAAATTACTTGTACTCGGTTTATTTCTCAACAACTGGTATCAGAGCTTTTGGTTGTGAATTTTGTCAATTTTTTGTGAGGTTACTATTCATTACTATTCACATGAGTAGTAAATTTCATGAATAGTAAAAATTTTGTCGGCGATACGAGTTTGTCGACGGAGGTGTTCTAATACACGGTGGTTCGCAAGAATTGTCAGAAACGATCCAAACGAAACCATACTCGAGTGGGAGCGATGGCTACAGACGAATGGAAGGTGAAAATTGAAAAGTTCGATGGTGCGGACTTTGGCTTTTGGAAGATGCAGATCGAAGATTTTTTGTACCAGAAAAATCTATATCAACCTCTCTCAGGAAAGCAACCAGAGGGCATGAAGAATGAAGACTGGGCTCTTCTCGGCAGACAAGCCCTCAGAGTTATCCGACTGACGTTATCCCACAATGTTGCTTTCAACATAGCAAAGGAAAAGACCACGGTGGGTCTTATGGCGGCTCTCTCCAGTATGTATGAGAAGCCATCAGCCTCAAACAAAGTGCACTTGATGAGGCGATTATTCAATTTGCGGATGACGGAAGGGGCATCGATGGCACAACACCTTAATGAACTCAACACAATCACAACCCAGTTGAGTTAAGTGGAAATTGAATTCGATGATGAAGTTCAAGCTTTAATTCTCTTATCATCTCTACCAGACAGTTGGAATGCTACTGTTACAAAAGTTAGCAGCTCGTCGGGAAATAGTAAATTAAAATTCGACGATGTTCGGGATCTGGTACTGAGCGAAGAAATTCAACGGAGAGAATTGGGTGAAGCATCAACCTCCTCAGCCTTGCACACGGAGTCCAGAGGGAGAACTTCATAAAGAAATTCAAATCGTGGCAGATCGAAATCCAGAATGGGCAAATCAAGAACAGGAAAGAAAGATTTTACCTGCTATAATTGTGGCAAGAAGGGTCGCTTTAAAAGAGATTGTCGAGCATTAAAGAAAGATACCGGTGTACAGGAATCTACCAACATGACAGAGGAGACAAGTGATGTCATGATTCTAAGCATCAACACTCTGATTGAATCATGAATCTTGGATTCAGGGGCATCTTTCCACTCCACCAATGCAGAGAAATCATGGAGAACTATATCAATGGTGATTTTGGGAATGTTCATCTAGCTGATGATGAAACCTTAAAGATCGTCGAAAAAGGAGACATCCGATTAAAGTTGCCAAACTAGACCACTTGGACGTTGAAAGGAGTGAGACATATTCCTGGCCTCAAAAGAAATTTGATTTCTGTAGGACAACTTGATGTAAAAGGATATAACACAACCTTTTCAGACTGTGAATGGAAGATTACCAAATGAGCACTCGTCATTGCTCGTGGTAAGAAGATCGGTACTCTCTATGTAACATCAAATTTAGAGAATATCATTGCAGTAGCAGATGCTGATGGAAAATCAAACCTATGGCACCAAAGGCTTGGCCATATGAGCGAGAAAGGGATGAAGACACTTTTGTCAAAGGGGAATTTGCCGGATCTAAAGAATGTAGATGTCGGACTATGCGAGGATTGCATCTTTGGCAAACAAAAGAAAGTCAGCTTTGCAAAGATTGGTAAGACACCCAAGGCTGAAAAGTTAGAGTTGGTTCATACTGATGTATAGGGACCATCTCCAGTTCCATCTCTTGCAGGCTCATTATATTATGTCACCTTCATCGATGATTCTACAAGGAAGGTGTGGGTTTATTTTCTGAAGAAGAAATCAGAAGTCTTTGATACCTTTAGAAAATGGAAGGACATGGTGGAAAATGAGACTGGTTTGAAAGTCAAGCGGTTGAGGTCTGACAATGGAGGAGAGTACAAAAATAGAAGATTCAGAGATTTTTGCGCAAACAATGGGATCAAGATGGAGACACAGTTCTCATGACACCGCAACATAATGGCGTAGTAGAACACATGAACAGAACTCTGAATGAACGTGCCAGAAGCATGAGGATACATGCCAGATTGCCCAAATTTCTATGGGCTGAAGCTATCAACACTGCAGCTTACTTGATCAACCGTGGGCCCTCAGTTCCTTTGGATGGCAGAATACCAGAGGAAGTTTGGAGCAAGAAATAAATAAACCTTTCACACTTAAGAGTGTTTGGTTGTATTTCTTATGTAGACATAGACTCTGCTGAAAGAAGTAAACTTGATGCTAAGTCCAACAAATGTGCCTTTGTTGGTTATGGCGGTGATGAGTTCGGTTACCGATTTTGGGACTACGAAAATCGGAAGATCATCAGAAGCAGAGATGTTATTTTCAATGAGAATGTGATGTATAAAGACAGGTCAACCATAGAATCAAGTAGCTCCAATACTGAAGCTGAAATAAAGGAATTTGCTGAGTTCGAGGAGATTTTTGGAAATGATGTTCAGATCAGTCCTGAAGCAGTTCAAGAAGAACTAGTCACACCAGAACTGAGACGCTCCTCCAGAATTCCTAAACCAACCCAACGGTATTCTCCTTCTTTGCACTATTTATTGCTGACTGACAATGGTGAACCAGAGTGCTATGATGAAGCAATGTAAGTGGAGGATTCAGTCAAGTGGGAGTCTTCCATGAAAGATGATATGGACTCGCTTATGTCAAATCAGACGTGGGAATTACCTGAATTACCACCAGGCAAGAAAGCGCTCCACAACAAGTGGATTTACAGGATCAAGAAAGAGCACGATGGGAGCAAACGCTACAAAGCGAGATTGGTTGTCAAAGGTTTTCAACAAAAAGAAGGTATTGACTACAATGAAATTTTATCTCCAATCGTGAAGCTGTCTACAATCAGACTAGTATTGAAAATTATAGCTGCAGAGAATTTACATCTTGAGCAGTTAGATGTAAAGACATATTTCCTTCATGGTGATTTGGAGGAAGAAATCTATATGAGGCAGCCAGAAGGCTTCATAGAGGCAGGCAAGAAAAACCTGGAATGCAGGTTGAAGAAGAGCTTGTATGGTTTAAAATAAGCTCTTAGACAGTGGTACAAGAAGTTTGATAGCTTCATGGGTAGCAGTGGTTATACCAGATGCCAAGCAGATCATTGTTGCTAATCAAGAGGTTCAATAATAGCTTCATTATTTTATTTTTTTACGTTGATGACATGCTCGATGCAGGCTCAAACATGCAAGAGATTATACACTTGAAGAAAAATTTGTCGAAGCAGATTGCTATGAAGGATCTGGGCGCTGCAAAGCAGATTCTTGGGATGAGAATCAAGAGAGACACAAAGTCGGGGACTTTGATATTATCACAGGCTGAGTACATCAACAAAGTACTCTCCAGGTTCAACATGCAAGATGCTAAACCAGTAAGTACACCTTTAGGTGTTCATTTCAGACTCTCCAAAGAACAGTCACGAAAGACGGAGGAAGAACGTGCACACATGGTGAAGGTGTCGTATGCCTCAACAATTGGAAGTCTGATGTATGCCATGGTTTGTACCAGACCAGATATTGATCAAGCAGTGGGAGCTGTTAATAGGTACATAAATAATCTGGGCAAGGTACACTGGGAAACAGTCAAATGGATCCTCAGATATCTGCGGGGTACCACAAATAAAACACTTTGTTTCAAAGGTGGAGATACGATACTGAGAGGCTATGTAGATGCTGACTTAGCCGGAAATGTTGACATCAGAATGAGCACTACAGGGTATGTCTATACTCTAGGAGGAACCGAAGTGAGTTGGGTTTCTCAACTACAGAAGATAGTTGCTCTCTCCACAACTGAAGCAGAATATTTCGTTGTTACCGAAGCCAGCAAGGAGATGGTTTGGCTCCAAAGTTTCTTGGAAGAGTTAGGCAAGAAACAAGAAAACAATGTTTTGTATTGCGACAGTCAAAGTGTTATACATCTAGCAAAGAATCCATCTTTTCATTCCAGGACAAAGCACATACAATTGCGATATCATTTTATCCAGTCTCTTCTGGAAGATGGGATTTTGAAACTTTAAAAGATCAGTGGAGCTCAAAATCCGGCAGACATGTTGACAAAGACGGTGACTACAGACAAACTGAAGTTGTGTTCAACTTCAGTTGGCATGCTAGAGTAACAAGACTAGAAAAGTTGTTGCATTGATCGAGTTGTGAAGACAGATTAAAATCAGTCTTCAAGTGGGAGATTGTTGAAAGTATTGTTAAAATGGTTTTCAAGATTGGCAACCAACTTTGAAAAAATGGTTTTCAAAGTTTGGTAAATGTTTCTTTGAAAATTAGTTTTTCAAAGTTTGGTAGATGTTTGTTGAAAAATGATAATGAGATAATCACAATTAATCCCTAGGCTTTAGGGTATTTACAAGATTAAGTCCTTAAGTTTCAACTATAAATACCCTAGCTCATTTAGCTTCAAAATCATTCCAAAAAATCATTTCTTTCTCCCAATATTAGAGAACTTTCTTGTGAGTAGTGAGTGTTTTGTAAACACCTGTAAATTTTCTCTCTTAGTAAAAGATCTGCAGCAGTCTGGAGACGTAAGCAAATTGGCTGAACTCCGTTATCAATTTCGGGTATTATTTTTCCGCTTTTATTGCACATTCTTATTAATCTGGTTATAGGGAAATTACTTGTACTCGGTTTATTTTCCAACAATCGGATCACCTGTATCTTTCTCTACTCGAAACAAAAGACACCTTCTGAGAAAACGCTCAACTTCAGTGCTCAATTTATACAGTTTATCAACCACCACCCCAAAGCTCCTCTCTCATTTCCGGGGTTCACTTTCCTCACTCATTCCAAGCTGCGAAATGAGCCCTTTTATTTTTTGTGCTGCTGAGAACGAACCCCAGGCCTTCTCCCTAATCTTTTATTCAATTGAAAGCTTCCTTTACCGAGAAAAAGCAATGGTAGAGGAAGCTTGAACAACTCCACAAGACTCTTACTTTGATGCAATCTCATAATTTTGTTTCCTCTTCAACTTCGGATTTTAATCGCTTCATCGTCAATCTCATCATTCCCTTATTACAACCATGCGGCGAACTCAATTTCGACACCAAGTGCCGTTTGATTTCTGAATGTTTACCAAAAATTCGATTAGCTTTCTGGAAGAAGCATCAGAATGGGTTAGTTTGGAATTTGAAAAAGGAGATTGAGGAGCTCGAAGAGAAAGATACTCTCAGCTGTTGAACTTTTGCAGAATTACAGGAAAGAAAGAGAGGAGTTGCAGGTGGAGCGAGATAATGCACTCGAAGAGGCTGAGGAGTTGCGGAAAAGTCAAGTTGAGTCCTCAGGTTTCGCCAGTTTATCTGCTCTCTCATTCAATCCAAACACAGCTTCCGAGATCTCTCGTTGGTTGCTTGAGATTTGATCGTACCATGGCTGTTCAATCCTCCAAGGGGTCAATTCATGGCTTCACTATTAAGGATGCAAAAGGAAATGATGTTGATTTAAGCATTTACAAGGGCAAGGTCCTCTTGATTGTCAATGTTGCATCACAATGTGGCTTGACCAACTCCAACTACACTAAGCTCAGTCAATTGTATAAGAAATACAAAGACCAAGATTCTGGCATTTTCGTGTAACCAGTTTGGAGGTCAGGGGCCAGGGAACAATGAGCAGATCTTGGAATTTTCTTGTGTTCACTTTTTAAGCTGAATACCTCATATTTGATAAGGTATACCCTTTGGCTATATATGAATGATTTTGCTGATTGTAATTATATAATTAATGTTTCTCAACAACTTGAAACCAAATATGATTTGAACCTCTAGCGTACACCTTTTGATAATTGGCAAATCAAACTGTGTTTTCTTCTTGGAACATCTGTAAGTGCAACGCAATAAATTTATTTATGTAGGTTTGACAAGTTCATCATGTGTATTATATGTTCATTATTGTTTTTTCTTTGCCATGTGTTACGCATCTTCTGCATTCTTTTTTATTTATTTATTTTTCCTCTTTTGATTTATTTATTTATTTTTTAATATTTATTTATTTTTTTATCTAACCTTTTCAACCCTCTTTTAGAAGAACTTCAATCGATCAAAGGTAATTATTTGAATTGATGTTTTAAATTTTAATTTAAATTTTTTAATTTTCGCAATTAAAGACATCCGATAAATTATTTGGTACCGAAAGGGTGGTTCGAGGGTGCTAATCCTTCATTGACCGTAACCGACTCCCGGACCCGACACATTTATTGTAAAACCCAGATCAGGTAAGATGGTGTATCTACCTAATGTATTTAAAATGATGGTGGCGACTCCTAATCCAATTCGTTTAATCCAAGTCGAAGCCTAATTCCGGGCCCAACCGAAAGATGGTTCCGACAGCTTGGCGACTCCGCTGGGGACAGTTAAGCAAGTCAGACCAGAGTTAATTTTTTGTTATCTTTTTATGCTAAAATAGTAAATTTAAATTTAAATTTATTTATTCGATTCAAATTATTTACCTTTGATTATTTTTCAAGTAAATAGTTATACTGACGTTTTTTTTCAATGATTTCAGATTTTCAAAATTTTCATCTCATTCTCTATATCCGAGCTCCGAACCCTATTTAAGTGGGGTGAAAGTGACACCTTCGTGTGAATTTATTCACCGTGCAGGCCTAGTAAGTAGCCTTCGGGATTCATATACCTTATGTCTTCGTGTGAATTTATTCACCGTGCGGGCATAAGGGAATGTTTCCTCTCGAGTTTAACTTAGTCCACACAAGCTTGTAATGGGCTTAGGACTAAGGGTCTGGCAAGCCAAGGGGGCACCAGCAAGGGAACTCGAGTACCTTTTGTAGAACCTAAACCGGGAGAATACATGGAATTAGAGCCCACCCCAAAACCTCATTTCAAACCCTAAGATGCCTAAATTATTTCCTGCTTTACTTTATGTTCAAAGCATGTGAACTAGACAAATATGCGGTTAGGATTTGTTTGAAATTAGCATGCGAGATATGAATCATATCCGGGTAGGAATAATAAGCATGTGGGGTAGATATCATATGGGGTAGGATTTTTCATTTTTTATTGTTTTGATTTACCTCGCTAACTCTTTTTATTTCTTGTTCTCTTTCATTGTGTTCTCATCATTCGCATCATTTAAAAAGAGGTGTTGATCCACTAAAAACGTTTGTTAAACATGAATAATCATCATTATCTTTGAAGAACTGTCTGGCAGAGGTTGCAGGGGTAAGATGAAGGTTACTGATCTTGGGAGTCCCTTCAAAGACAACAATGGCAAAACGATAGCTGAAATTGGAGATCATTGCTGACGAATTCAAGAAACAGACAAATGAACTTCACATAGTTCCTATCAATTGAGGGCTCCAATGACGTATTCGTTGGGAACAGGTTCAATAAAGGATAAATGCCAGAGATGCAGTCATTCGAGAATTCTTGGGCTAGTACAAAAAGCAACTCAACATTTGCATGGTTCATCCAGAGAAGCCAGAGCGGTTCGATAGGTTATTCAACCGATGACAAATGAAGGTAGAAGACTAGTCAACATGTCAGAAGCTGTCAGAATATTTTTGTATCTTAAAAGATAAAACACTTTTGTCCCCAATGAGGATTATTTATAATAAAAGACACATTTTGGATCAATACCTCGAACATTGCATACATCATGCATTCTTGCATATTTAGCATTATTTTTCCTTTTTTATTACATTCACTTGTCTCATAAAAATGGGAAAATTTCGATTATATTCCCAGGACCTACAAAAAACTTTACCAGCAACTTCTTGACACCCATATAGTGTCACCATACCTGGTGGAACCCATAAAGCCCCATACCCCAAGTGGTATAGTGAGAATGCTCATTGTGAATATCACGACGGTGTCTCAGGGCACATAATTGAGAACTGTTACGCATTCAATAGAGTCATACAGAAGATGCGTAACCAGAACTGGATCGACTTCAATAACTTAGGGGCATCCAAGTGAGGAAGATCATTTCATCATTTGAGGCATTCTGTGAGGAAGATCATTTCATCATTTGAGGCATTCTGTTTGAATTTGTTTTTTCATTTTTTTCTCAAGTTTTGTAAGGACTTTTAAATAAATTTATGTTACTTTAAAGATGTTAAGCAATGAATCACATTTGCAAACTTGCAATTCTTTGAATATCAACTGAATTAAGAAACTCTGTAAATGGTACAAAGTTACAACTCTTTGACAAAGTAACATGATTTAAAACAAGGACTTGGACCTTACCCATAATATACACTCAAACACCATACCTTGCTATCGTAATTAACCAATACAACCTTTTCTTTTCATAAGGTGCGGACAACAGGGGGCATCTTTTTGCATATGACATTACTATGCTTTTTATTTAAGACGTTCAGTGATGATAATGATCTTCACAGATGGAATAGTCAAGTAAGCAAATCTAGTTTAGGTCAGTTGCTTGGAAATTAAACTCTAAAGATAAAAATTTTGACCTTCAACAAACACCTAGACTATAACAGGTTCTTCTTGAAAATCTTAAGAAATTAAATTTGTAAAGCTGAGCTATTCCACTAAGGCAATTGGTTATAGAGGAAACTTGAAAGCCCTGGCCTTATGAATAGATTACGTTCAAACCATGGCATTGCTCGAACACATGTCAATTCGGTGTTTGCTCCACTGCTATTGTTCGGCCGAAGACTTTGCGATGAGATGAACCCTTCAGTTAACTTGATAAAAATGATTATAATGTTAAGTTGTCCCTCTAAAGCAATTTGTTAAACGCCCCGGCTTTATGGATTCAGCTAGCCAGATAACGACAAGTTAAATCAAGTTTATCTAAGCAAGAAATTTTCGGTAATGATAGACTAAGGGAGTTAAGGAACACCTGTTATAGTCAACTACACATGAGTACTCAAGAATTTCATTTTTAGATCGATATTTATGTACTACCTTTGTTAGAGGAGCTTACGAAACTTGAACAAATGGAAGATTTCAGAGAACCAGAATAGAAGGTCTAGTAATTGATAATGCTAGTTGCGTCATTTTGTCTGCATCTATTTAAAATGCCAAGCCAAAGAAAAACATGTTGCAATAACCAAGGAATTACCTTTTCATTGATGAAACCTTAGGTCATCCTAAAGTCAACTCATCTATTTGAACATTTGTCAAAGAGCTATAACTCTGAAAGTATTAAAAGAGCTATTAATTCCTTTGATATACTTTGAACTCATGTTTATAATTTGATTCAATTGCGAGCCTGAATTAAAGAGCAATATTTTACAACATTTTCCCCTCCTAATACAAGAAAAAGGAGAAAAACATTTTCGAATAGAACAGTCTCAGATTGGAAAGGTCTGTAAAGCAAAAGCTCGAAAAGAAAATGGGGCACGATCGATTCCAATGACCAGATTGGCAGACAAAACACGCAACTCCAATCCAATAGATAAAACATAACTCATTCATGTTGCATGCATCTTAGGCGTACTTAAGAGCATCACATTTATTATTTTTCACGTACATGGTTTTTTACAGCTTTTAGAGTCAAGTTTCAACTTCAAGACGAATGATACTCGATTCAAAAATACCTTTAAAGATTGATGGTGGTTGCTTAACTCAGCAGCGAGAATTTACACCTCAACCAACTCGACAGATTAAAAGATTGACAATCAACTTCAGATGGGTTCAAGAACCAATTCAGATCAAACCCAGTTCAGCTCAACAATGACCAACATGTTTCCAGTTAATGTCTTCAAGCCAGATTTCAATTCCACAACGGAAGATATATGGCCGTCAGAATTTATCAGTGGGCTTTTTCATAAAAGGGGAGTCATCCAAAGATCGTCTCATTTGGTTCAGACCCTCTCAGAGGAACCACTTGAAGAACTATGACCGGCTTAGACCTCTTAAGGGAAGCCATTTTTTTAAAGACAACATTTGCAGCATAACTTAAGGCTAGAAAGGTTATCTGCCAACAAATACCTTCGAGTTCAACTACGCTTAGCTCAAAGACATATCATTTGCAGCATAGCTTAAGTCGAGAAGGGCTATCTGCCAAAAACCCTCGAGTTCGATTGCACTCAGCTTCGAGGGCACATCATTTACAACATAAATCAAGGCTAGAAGAGTTATATGTGACCAAAAGACCTTCGAGTCCGACTACGCTCAGCTCCAAGGCATATCATTTGCAGCATAACTTAAGTCGAGAAGGGTTATCTGCCAACCAAAGACCTTCGAGTTCGACTACGTTCAGCTCCTAGGCACATCATTTGCAGCATAGCTTAAGTCGAGAAGGGCTATCTACCAAATACCCCCGAGTTCGATTATACTCAGCTTCGAAGGCACATCATTTACAGCATAACTCAAGGCTAGAAGGGTTATATGTCAATAAAGACCTTTGAGTTCAATTACACTCAGCTCAAAGGCACATCATTTGCAGTATACCTTAAGTCGAGAAGGGCTATCTGCCAAAGACCCCCAAGTTCGATTATACTCAGCTCCGAGGGCACATAATTTACAGCATAACTCAAGGCTAGAAGGGTTATCTGTTAACAAAAACCTTTGAGATTGTTTCCCTTGAAACAAATTTTGTCTCTCTTGAGACAGTTAATCTTAAAACACCAAACTTTGAATATGTTTCT